CACCAGTTTACCTTCCTGGAAGTCGTGTTCCAAGCTTCCAAAATATTTTCCTCGAAGAAAAGCTGGCTTCCCTACAATGAAAATAAATAAATTCCCGAAGTTTGAATTTGTGGAGTACCTCCGACTTAGACTGAATTAGATCCGACTGATGTATGATTATATCAGCTTTGAATATGTTGACGATTTTTTTTAATATTTTCACCCGAGGAGATAAATGATTCATCTGAAAAAGTCAAGAGTGCATGCTTGATGTGCGAGGAAATGATTGCACCAATCAACAATCACACAATTTAAGATTGCACATTTGTGATATGCTTTTCTTGCCTTGTTTTTCGTTGCATATAATTTTGATTACGATTTTTTTTCTCACCCTCTGCAATTATTGCTGCTCTACCTTCAAGGAGACCACAGGTTTCTTATACAGTATTTATCGTGGTGATGCTCTGGAAAAAAAGTAGATCATGGAGATGAGTCCTCCAATTTTGTTGCTTCGAATGCAGCCCTTTCTTCTTCTTCAGAAATCGAAGGAATAATCAGATAACGGTCTTCTGCGTATCGAACATGAAAGGGTTGTATTTTTGTTGAAGAAAAAAAAAATAAGCGGGACAACGAAAGACACTTCCGCTGGCAACGAATTCTAAAAATATCACAGAATGAAGGGTGGGATGGTATTTCAGGTGTGTTGATGGTTTCATTCCTTAATTTATGAATTTATTAATAATCACCTGGTACTATAGTGACTGAATAAGTACTTCTTGCGCGAATTGAGCGGGAACAAAAAGGCGTGAATGATCCGGAAAAAAAAATTGGGCTTGAAGTGCTGTTATGTTCTGGTTTTTTCTATGTATTGTACAGTGTGTCAAGTCATTGAAACACGCGCACATCTCAAATACTTAATAATGCATGCATTTTGAAGTGCTTCGAGTACTGCATTTGCTGCCGTATTGAAACTAATTAATCTCGCGAAGTAGTATTCCTGTCGTATTTGTGTTGTTTCTGAAAAATTGTCAATCATTTTTTCGGAACATCCGGACGTGGAGCGGAAAATATGACGACGCAGTATTTATCAGCGAACAAATGATAAAAATTTACTCATTTGTGGAATCAATAACTTATAGTGACTGGCGATTAAAAGATGAATTTCTGCATAATTAATTTTTTTGGGCGTGTGCAGGATTGCGTAGGAATATATGTTATTCGGTTTGGAATATACAGTAAAATCTCGCTACAACAAAGCCATTGGGAATAGTAAAACATCTTCATGGTAAAAAAAAAACTTCGTTATAAAGTACAGTACGTCATTTGAAATTGTATCTACTGAGCAAAGACCTAAAATGATTTTGTTGTAAGAAATTATTTGTTGTACTGTAATGGGATTAGTCTTCAAAAAATTCCGCTAATAAGATTAATTAATTTGCATTCAAATAGAAGATTGCTTGAAATGCTTTCAATAATTTGTATATTTTACAACAGCCGGAAGTGCAATCACTGGTATTCATCTTTTAGTAGGGCCTAATTTGGGATAACTACACTTCTCCAAGCTCTTTAAAACAGTTTTCATTGAAAGGAATTCTTGCAAATCACGTATCAAAATTTAAAATTTGCTTGGGGAAATTTTTTACTGCATGCGAATCCCCCACTCCCTCCTCCTCTTTTTATTCAAGCAATTTTGAAGAAGAAAAAAACCCCTTGGTATCCGAGTGAATAGGCTCCATATCTTTAAAGAATACTGTTGGGCCTCAATAAATTGAACCTACTTGAGTTAAATACCTTCTTATTAAGTCAATGTTTTCAAGTCTCCACCTGAATTCCATAGAAAACAATGCATTATGAACCTCTCTATAACTCAAAGGCTTTTCCTCTCAAACCTCCATAACTCAAATTTTCTGAGGGCTTTTGGTTGTTTTTTTTGACACAGGAAAGATAAAAGGGATAAAAAATTAACTTACTGTGTTTTGAAAGGAAATGAAAGACTGATTGGGTAAATACATGTATGGACCCTTGTCTCCAATTTCAGCATCCTGTCAACTCATTTAAGAAGCAATTTAAGGCTGAAAATGTCACCATTTACAATTTCTTGCAATTCCTCTATCCTTCCCTCAACAAAAATGCTTTCAGGAATAAATCCTTGACAAGATAGATGTTAAGAATGATTTGAAATTACAAATGCTTGAACTTAGGTTAAGTTGAATAAAACAACAGAATTTGGTTGGGATGCAACTGGGGTGAAATTTCACCCTATTTTAAGGCTGTTGTACTTCAAACACAAGCAAATATTTGCAAAATATCCTCAAGTGACACACACAAGCTTTTTAAGAGAAGTGCGGGATTTTGATTGATTCAGAAACCAGGAAAAACTGTCCTCCAAGGACAAATAACAAAACCAGGATTTTATTAATTGAAAACAGCCTTGGAGGCTTCAGGAAAATGTGTGGGTGAACCAATGTTGTCCTTGGTTCACACAGAGATATAAAGTGAAGACAAGAATCCATGTTTTTGAGTTTAGCGTGTCAAATTTCATTCTATTGTTCATTTTTTTGCAACAAATGCCTGTTTCCCCAGCTCTAAACCCCCCTCCAGTCGTAATTTTCATTTTCTCCTGGTCCCACGAAATTCGACTGATGGAGAGCAGGCTTTATTATACTGTAATATGTACACCAAAAATAATTTTAAAATATTATATTGATCATAGTTTGGGATTGCGAGGGCTTGTGAAACACGGAAGCGGAAGCGTGTACTACAGTGCAGTACCTCGTGCCGGATACACCGTTGACTGGGATTTCTCAGGACTGACGTCGACATTAATGCCGACGTTGTCGACGGGGGCAAGAGCCAAGTTCCGTGCTGCTGTTGACGAGCGAGCTGCAGTGTGTCGCGGCCGGTGATTTGTTGGCAATAACAGGGACGCCCAGCTTGTAAACATGCTCTCATTTGCATCTTTCACGTGAAACTTCCAAGAGCCAAGTTCCGTGCTGCTGTTGACGAGCGAGCTGCAGTGTGTCGCGGCCGGTGATTTGTTGGCAATAACAGGGACGCCCAGCTTGTAAACATGCTCTCATTTGCATCTTTCACGTGAAACTTCCAAACGATGCTTCTTTTCTTCTGTTATACTGCACAGACTTCGGTGTAAAACTCAAAAAATAAAAAATTACGAGAGAAGGAGAGAGAGAGAGAGCGAGGGAGAAATAAATAAATAAATAAATGAAGATCGAAGACGGGGGAAACGAGTTTATTGGAATTTGGCTTCTCCTTTAAACTTCACGGCCAAAAATTACACAGCCTCTTCCTGGATGTTTTTCTCCCCTTTTTTATAGAATGGAAAGGGAATTCGAAAATGTTTATCGATTTTACAGGAAAAAATATGCATAATGAAAAGCATACGAAGGTAGGAAGGAAATTGTTCAAAAGTTTCAACAGATCGAATATCGAAATTTCCATTTTTGGGGACATCGGAACGATGTTATTGGATGATGGAATAAAGTTTCCTGCCAAAGTCTCTTCACATTTTTTTTTTGCTGCCTTGAGCGGATTTTGCTAAATTTACAAGTGGTGGAAAAAAAAAGATAGTTGATGAGTTTACCAACAATTCGGAAAGAATTAGGAATAATCAAATAGAATATGATTATTCGATCGAACTTTTCCTCTTCAGCGCGGTTTTTATTTTCTTCTTCTTCTTCGGAACCTGATTCATATTTCGAAAACCCGGAAATCACTGAGTTTTTCTTTCCGCTATTTGAAGAAGAATTTTATACTATTTTAGAATAATATGTCATGATTTTCAACTGTTGAATAAATAACCTATTTTTTGTTTCTGTTTTTCTTTTCAGGAGGCAGGAATGTGTCGGTGTTCCGTTGCTTCTCATCACGCTGAAGAAGAGAACTTTCAAAATTAGGCCGGAAGACGGACTTCGTTAGTTATTGCGATTTGATACCAGAAACGTCTTGAGGAGATTGGAAGCGATTTTCTCCGCACGCTTCAACAAATTTCCATTTTGACAGGTACAAATTAAAATATCTATGACGAGAAAAATAATTCCGTGGTGAAATGTGAAGAAGTGCGGGATTCGATGTCGGCGACAGGCTGGAATGGATTGACGGCATTGATGCGCGTCGTCGCTTCGCGTCGCCGCTTGTGAAGCCCTTGCGGAAGATGCAGGTCAGTTTCAATTTCGTTTTAAATTTTACTCAGAATCGGAATACTGTGCTGTATTCTTTTTTTTTGTTTCTCCCTATTTTAAATGGAAGAACATCGAGAAAGTTCGGGGTAATGCGTCCTTGAAGCTCCGCGAGATGTCCATGTCTCAAAGAGTGAAAAATTGTTGGGCCGAAAAGATTTTCTTCCATGAAAAAGTCGCGATCCAATTATTTCCTGAATATGGTTCACTGCAATAACGTAGTGTTTGGAGACGTACAGTATTTATGTCACTGGCAGTTTTTCTTAAAATAAGACGATTGCAGTACTGTATATTTTTTCATATTCGAAAAACGCGCTGATTTACTTCAAGGCCAGCAGAAAAATTTGGACAAATTTCGAAGCTGAAACCGTTTTAAATGCCAGATGCAATTACTGTGCTGTAGTTGAAATGATGTACAGTAGTACAGTACAAAACATCCTTAAATTCCTCCTGTTTCAAATTCCTCCGGAACAAAGAGCTCCAGTATAGAATTTTTCAAAGTTGAAGTTTACTAAACTAAGCGTGGAATTTGTGGCATTCAAGGTGGGTTGTCCTCTTACTTGCAATTTAAGAAATTTGAAAATTCATGAATATTCCTCAAAAGGACATAAAGTGGATTTATTTGTTGGAAACAAAGTGAAAACCGAAGCTTTAATGGTTTGTTATACTGTATAGTGCTGTAAATCCGCAGAAAAAGATATCAGAATTTGACCATCAACAAATTGCTGCTTTTTATTCCTCCAAAAACAAAACTCTTCCTTCAAGTTTCTGAGTCAAAATGAGAAAAATCTCAAAGAATCTGGAAACAAATGTGTTATTCTTGAAACCCTCGCTTTCCAAAATTGACTCAGAAAAAGACATACAGTAGATATGAGATTATTTATTCCGTACATCACTTACATTGGTGGTATTTTTGTTCTCATGTTGTTCAACTTCGGCAAATATTTTATTTTTATTTTTTCATGATGAAATAAATTATTTTTGAGTATTCAGAATAACCGGTATTCAAGCCCGATTTCCCTGTGAGGTTTTGTGCATTTAACACAAGATTTCAAGCTTCGTTACTCAACACTGAATTTATCATTGCACAGTCACTTTTTTTCGGGAAATCCGCGTCTATAATTTAAAAAAAAGAGACGTGAAGTTCTTTCGCGTTGCTAGAATTAATGAAACGTTCGGAGAGAAAAGCAATTTGAAAAATTATTGAATTCCGAAGAGCGTTCGCAGTTTGGATTTAAAACAAACACGCGTACCCCATAAATAAAACGCGCATTTCCGAGCAGACATACGTACGAACGCGTATATAAATCCTTCCGCGTGTGTATCCCATATATGTGATGTGTTCCCTCATCGCCGTTTCGAGTAATAAACGCCGGGTCATAACTTATTCAAAGGAAATGGTTTTGACGTGCTGTGAGTGCGTAAACAAATCCGGGTCAAACAGTAATCCAACAAGTGCACAGGGGAATTTTTTTTATTATTTTTTTAAATGCAGATTTTTAATTTTTAATTTTTTACTAGATTATTTGGAAGATGCGAGTAATTGAACAAGTGCGATCAAGGTGAGAAGCATCGACGGGAGGATTTATACAGTATTCTTGTTTTTATCTTTGTCTGCTTGTTGTGGATTTTCTCGAATGAGTTATTGTGTGGCTTAGGATTAAATTTCTGGTCGACTGGGATGAAATCCGAGCTCATCTGAGGTTTCCGTTTCCGAATTCGTTAGCGAAGGCTTGTTTGTTTTAGGATTATGCCAGATTTTTTGTTTTGTTTTTGTTTTTTAAATTTGTTTCTGATCTGGACAGGAAATTGAGGTTTTAATTTGAGCGCGAGTTTTTTTTTCATTTGTTTCTGATCTGGACAGAGAATTGAAGTTTTAATTTGATTGCGAGTTGACTGCGGAATTTGTTAAAATTTAGTTTGAGTCGGAATTACCTGTGAAATAAATTTGGCTTGCGATGTGTCATGCCCTTGAGATACAATTTGTACAATTGCATTTTTTCTGGCAATTTCTTTGAATAAAATTTCACTATTAATTATATTCTCTTTTGGGAGACGGATTTCATAGTGTACAGTACCCGTATTCACGATGTTTATTTTACTATGATTAGGAATGACTCATCGAAGGTGCATCTGTACATGCCTGTATTATATGAATAAAATTCAAAGATATATTTTCATTGTGCTTATGTCGAGTTTCGTTCGCAATTCATTTTTTTAGACATGAACCAAGATTCAGTAGCAACGGGAAGTGTGAGTTGAATTTATCTGTAAATTAAATCAGCTTTCCCAATGAGGCTTGTATGTAGTGGAGATCCAAGTGGTATAAGTGTATTTTCCAGCAATTTTTTTTTGTTCAAATAAAATCCCAGTATGAATAGTTTTTTGCTACGTTTTCAATGAAATCGATGAACATGCTGTTTGGGAAACGGATTTACGGCGCATTCATGAGGTTATTTTTCGTCATGAGGAATGGCTCGTCAAAGATACATGTCAATTTTATGAATTGAAATTTCAAGACATAATTTAATTTACTGGATTTTCGTCAAATTTTGTTTTCAATTTTTTTTTTTCGTTCTAGGCATGAGCCAAGACTCAGGAGCAACCGGAGCCTACCGCAACCGAGCTCCAGATAACCATTCCCAGGAGCAATTTCGTGCGAAGTTGCTGTATTTCTTCATATTTTCAGGTGAGAAAAAAATAATTATGATTTTCTTTGAAAATTATTAAAATATGTCTTTCAGTTTTCTTTGGTTTCCGGAACGAATCGTTCTTTTCTTTTGTTCGAGGTTGCTGTACAAATTTTAAACCGGAGCGGAAATCATTGTAGCAGCCCGTGAAGTCTTCTAAATTTGGCATCGAGAATCGAAAGTGTTATATTGGCATGCATTCCTGTATATAGTCATTAGAAACAAGGGAAATAATTGCTTGGAATTGAAGCGAAATATTTGTTGTTTATCTGTGATGAATCTAATGAAAAATTCGTGTCAGTTGTACAAGCTTATTTTTTAAAATCGCCCTCTTTATTCTGTGTTTCGCTTAATTCGAAATGAAACTGCGGTATATACTTCGTCGATCTGGAAAAATCAAGGTCCAGCGGAGTTGAAACTGTTACTTGCAAACTAAGGATCAAAATTATAAGAGCACGAACACTACTTATTCCATCAGAAAAGTATGCAATTCAATGAGTGCTTCTTTTCTTCTTTTACATGTTTGTATCGAGAACACTTCGGTTGTCGATTACAGACAGTATTCGTGATCCTGGGATTCTTTGAGCATTTTAGGCAATATTTTCAGAAATATACTAAGTTTTATCAAAGCAGGTTTTTTTTTCACTACGACCATTGGGTCAATATGCAAGCCATCAGAATGTAACGAAACATCATTGAATTTGGTTCGTCTTTCCCGACGAAGAAAATTAACCAGAAGGAATATCGGCATTAGAATCAATTACCGAACGTGAACTGATGGAAATACCGATCCCATCCCATCAACATGCAGTACCTGACTGGATAATGAATAACAATGTTCTACTTGTTTTTGTAGTTAAAGAAAAGTTTCTCCTATTCCGCAAAGAAACGTGTGAACGGAACAGTGAATTATTCCGTCTGCGTGGCGTATTTCCCGTGGGAATTTTTCCGCTTGGACAAACCTGCGCACATTATTCCTTGACGTATGCCTTCTTTTTTTTCGTTTGTGGAAAACAGTTTTTGTTTTCGAGAATAAATATCTGCAAAGTGTTATTCGAATTGGATGTCGAAAGATCTGATTAATGACATAAAAGCGGAACTCAAAAGATTATGTTGGAAGTATACTGCACTTCGTTATTTGCATTCGACGGCGAATTTGACAGAGAGTGACATCTATACAAGGTGGAATAACTCTCCGGGAACACTCTGACATGTGTACATCACACGTGATGAACGAAGTAGGAAAATGTATCAAATAACATTTTGACTCATTTGGAATGTCTGACCTGATGCATTATTACGTAATATACGTTTCATAATGGCGGATGTATATTCAATTTTACGGCCGTCTTCATCCAAATATAATTGTGTCTCATTTATTGTTAAATGGATAGAGATGAACGTCATTATCTCGCACAAATAACAAATGATTGTTTCCTGATTAATATTTTAATTTCCCTGATGGAGATTGAAATGAAATGAGAGGCAGGAAACGTAAAGAATAAAAATCCGAAGATGGACAAATTTATTGGTACATTACTGTATACGTACAAAATGCTGAGTTGCTCCGGCTGATATAATCGTGTGTCGGTATTTATTACTGCTGCTGTATAATGATTACCCCGACTTGCTTTCATTGTCTCCCTGTGACTTGAATGCGATTGAACACCTGTATGATGATGGGTTATCTCATTCCCGAATTGTCTTCATTTCTATATAGCTATTGCTGCGAGTGAAGTGTCGGGAGGCAGCACGGATTCCTTCGTGGAGATCTTCTCCTCTCGGTACAAACAGCAAGTGACATCTAGCACACTGCAATGGCGCACTGTTGCTGGCCGGGACTACCCCGAGGACCTGGTGCCCGCCGGACGGGTCGGTGACGGCGTGTTGTTCCTCTGCCGGGCCGAGTACCTGGGCCGCAAAATCCCGGGTTACCTGAAACCTCCCCTGTGCACGATCGAACTTGCTGGACATGTGATGAATACCACGAATTTTCAGGTGAGAATCCATCAAAATGCGAATTATGTTTTCGAGGAGAACAAGTGAACGAAAAAATAAATGGCATTTTTGGGGAATCTTTTGCACTACAGGTATTTTGAGACTGCTGTGTTAGCATTATTCTGCGCTTTTTCAATTACCCGGCGTGGTTTATATGTAATAAAATGGTCACGTTTGTCTGCATTTTTTTCAACGAGGTAATTTCGCATTACTGTATTTGGCCGAAGGCTATAATATTATTTACATAGAACCAGCAGAACCTGGATGGTTGCTTATAAACATCTAAAAATTGAACGGAAAGATAATTTAATTTTTTTTTGCAATTGGAATGAATGTCTGACTTTGATCGTACTTGAGAGATTGACGCGTGCCGTGTTGAATATCTGATTCGTATTTTTGAATTTTTGAATTCGATTATTTCCTGTCTTCTTCTTCTCAAAATTCTGCATCTATACCAGGTACTGGTGAACATTGCAAACTCGGCCCGATTGGAGTGGGAACCGTGGACGAAAACCGTGTTGGTCGACGGCGCCGTGTCTTCGGACGGGTTCTTCGTTGCTCGGGCAGCGGGTTCCTCGGGTTCGGCTTCCGTTTCCGGTGGACGAGCGTCGAAAGACGACGTCAGTGACGACGTTTTCATGGGCAAAGTCGAAGCAGACCAGCCCCAAATCACCGTCACGATAGGACAGCGTTCTTTCAGGACCAGCAACGCCGACACACTGGTCGAGATTTTACCCACGCACTACTTCATCAACGACGTCTTGTTCGACGACAAACTCGTGAGTTCATTTTGCTGTTGCATTTACATTCTTAAAAAAATACTACTTGTATCTCTGGAGAATTTTTACAAATTACTAGAAAAAATAGGCATGACTCTCTGTAAAACAAAATTTAAGGGACCAGAAAAAATCGTTGTAGAGAGAAATTCGTTGTAGAGAACGCTCAAAGCAATTGCACGAAAAATATTTTTACAGAGAAAATCGTTGTAGACGAAATTGTTGCAGAGAGAGTCGACGTCTAATTAGTTACTCTATTCATGCGACAGTCTTTTTACAAATTTGGGAAAATCTTGTTTGGAAGAAACTTTCCAGACCTCTATAAATAGTCTAAAATGAAAGTCGATATAACGAAAAATTCGCCAAAACAAAATTGCTAAAGATGAAATGGGATATTTTTCAAATCAGGATTATAATTTGTTTGTCTATAAGCAATACACTTTTTTCTCATCTGAATTGCAGTTTATAATGACAAATCGAATATATTGTATATTCGTAAATATTGTGGGAGATCAAACCTTTTGAAAATTCTGCAAATGCGGTTTGTATGGGCTTTATGATAATCTGAAAGACATTCGTATAGCGTCAAAAGAATAGCGAAGAACAGATTTTCATGGGTATTTCATTCGGGGAAAATTTTGAAAAGAACTTGGTCTTATTCGTGGTCAAGGAAATACATTTTTGGCTCTTCTTACAATTTTTGTCGATGGATTTACGGTATTCATGAATGTTTTGAATGTTCTAGTTTGTATCACAAAATAACGTACATGAAATTTATTTACATCAGAACGTGAATAAAATTTATCCGGGAAGCGAAGAATGGCCTTAACAAAAAAATCTGGCTTCGACATTGATTCTCTGTCCTCCTCACTGTTGTATTTTATTTTAATTCCGGCTTCTTAACCCGATTTATAATTGTTTTGCCATTAATAATTATTTATTTATTTACTGCAATAGCGCACCTCTCCTATCACCGTGATTACTAATTTGTTTCTAATCACGTTGGTGCACTGGTGTTGTTTTTTTTATATACTTTGTATCGTGGTTGCTGCGGATGTTGCGGAATTAATTAAGCAGGAGAAAGGGCGTCCGGAAGAGGAGGTGAGGCATTGCTCAACGCTGGTTTAATTCTTTTTATTTACAAATTTACTCTTGAATCTTTTTTTGAATTTTTCCAGTATTTCTTGCGTTGATTGCTTGCACGTAACTCGCATAGGATAATTAAAATGTCTCTATTTTCTTTATCGTGACTCGTGGACATGCCGACGCGGAATAATCGGTACTTGCTCTTTCTGGTTGATGGGTCGGCAATAGGTCTGAGTACTTATGTAGTGTCCTTGCCTGTACTGTATTTCCTTAACGATCTCTCTTGAGAGTTGTTGCAGGAAAAAAAATTGACGATATGGTTGCATAAATTCACCTGAAACCGCTTTCGTTGTCCTCAGCTTTTATTTTTATTTTCGAGTGTATATGGCGTTGTTGAAAATTATATTTATGCTCGCTCATTCCGTCCTTGTCCTCGTCTGGTCCCCGTCTTTTTTTTTTTTTTCAAACTGACTCAAGGGCTTTGTAAAGCCATACAACATCGCTAAAGCGATCGACAAACACGGGCTTTTGAGACGGGAAACATCTGCATAAGTACTTCGTTTTCACTGAGTGTATATACAAGAGTTCCGATTATTGGGTGTCATTGTAAAAGCTTCCTGGAGTGATTTTGGAATCGGGTTTTAAATGCTTTGATCGAGTGAACAGATTGCTTCGTGCATTTTTTTTTTATTGCTAAGAAGTAGAATTGTGTGTCTGATGCCCAATGATATGGATTTGCTTCAGTTCATGAGATGCGTGATGCATCTTATTCACTTGTTGAGTTTTCTACGAAACTTTTTTTTGTTTTCTTTCGAAAATGCATATTTGAAAAAATTGAATGCACGTCATACACGGGTAGAACGCTGGTCAAAATTTGGGTATGCATTATACAGTGCAAATATCAAGAAGGAGCACTTGTAATTTAAGCAACAGAAATTCCAAAACCTATGACAGATGGAAATTTGAATGTACTGTAGACTCAAATGAATGGTGCATTCAACTGCAGTTCTTTAAACTGACCTCGATATCTTTAACCTCTCTAATTAAGATGAATAACTCCCTATGTTTAATTTTTTTTAATCCCTGTCTAAATTTCCTTTTTTTTTAATCCATTAAAAAGCCTCCCTAATTCCAAGGATTTCTTTCTCGAACCTCAAGAACTAAAAAAAATGTTCTGCCTATTATTTTATTGACGCAGGAAAAATAAATGTGAAAAAAATGTAACTGGATGTGTTTGGAAAAGAAAGTGAAAGACTAATTGGGAAAATGGACCCTTTTGCTTCCAAGTTCAACATCCTATCAGCTCATTTAAGAAGTGATTCCAGGCCCAAAATTTTAATTTTCTGAAATTTTTACGCTTAATTTTTGCAAAAAATACTGTTTCCCTATCTTGAAACCTGCCAAACTCAAATTTTTGCTGGTGCCTTATTGGAGTTCGACTTTAATGGGTTTGATTGTATTTCAAAGTATTTCAGCACACCTGATATGATAGGTACGAAAATAATATAACACTGAGTATATAGAGTGCTATGGAATGTATATATTTTTCAAGCCTAAAATTATATCTTTTTCGAATAAAGTTCTTGAAATACAATACAGTTCGACACTTGTAGCTCAAACGTTCCTGAATTAAAAATCTTCGTAAATAATTTTTTTATTTATTCCCTCTTGGAATTATTTTGAGAACAATAAATGCACTATACATTTTTTATTTATTCGCTCTTGGAATTATTTTGAGAACAATAAATGTACTATGATTGAATGTAGACCTCTCGTATGACTCAAAGAACTCCCCCATTGGAACTTAAATATAGCCTGATCTAAAATCCGGTCTTCTGTTGCAAAATTAAAAATACTAATCCAAGCATAAACTCGAATCGAGATCTACTAAAGTTTTACTAACCTATAATCAATCTCGAGTATGATGAAGCATTGTGGCAGTCAAACGTGAATTTAATTGTGATGATCATGATTGTATCCCTGCTACCAGCAAATGGCTCTACACAGTGACCCGGCAATGTTATGATTGTTTCCGTCAGGAATCGAACGTTTGAATTTGTTCATTAAATGCTGATTTCACATTTTTATTCGTGAACGAGGCGATGAAAACTAAAGAGCAACCGTTTATATGATCTAAACGCTTTCGTTTCCTCACATAAAATATTGCTACGTTGTCAAGTTATGGAAACCTATAGAAGCGTTTTTTTAAGTTTATTGCTTGTGGACAGAGACCGATTTTATTTGAATTAGAGCGTAGTTTTCGCTTGTATTCTTACATCTTTCTATTTAAAAAAATAATAATTGGGAAGCCTTGTACAGTATTTTGAATCTCTGGCGTGTTTTGCACTATCGAATCGTGTCAAAATGCATGAAAATGTTTCTATAGTTGTACAGTGATTGGTTCAATGATTGTTTTCGCTTTCGGGGTCCTTTTCTGAAATGTTTCTGACTTTTGACTTCATATCCTCACGCCAGTCGTGCTCAAACTCCCATGATTCACGCGTGATCGTTCCTCTCTATCTAATCTTTCTTCTTATTTTTTTTTTTTCATTTAAATTTTCGGTTCTGTGTGTACACCCTGATGGAGGAGCAGACTTATGCAAAGAGCGAGACGAAAGTGCTGGAGCGAAAGATATTCAACAACAACGACTCGGAGCCGTTGCGGATCAGCGAGAAGGTGCACTACGAGTACACAGCCAAGGAGTGGTGGGGCACGGTCGACGGTAAAGAGCTGCTTTATTTATAAAACCCTTCGTCTCCCGGACTTCAATTCCTGGAATTAATTCTCGATATTCCCTCTCGAGAAGACTGTTTTGTTTCAACTTCTTTATCGTATTTATTCTTCGAATTTTGGATAATTTTTTTTGTCGAGTATATATTACTGCGTTTAGAGTGCAGAAGTATACTAAAAGTCCTTCTGAGCCCGCGTCTCGGGAAGGAGATTTTTGTCTGAGTGGTAAGGGAATAGGCACTCGGAGTCATCAGGGATTTAGTGTAGGATGATGGTTCAGTACTTGATACTGAGTGGCACTTATACTAAGGTTTTGTTCATGGTCGATGCTTCTTTTTTCTTCATAGAGAAATGTGATATTAACGATTACCTGGCTGGTTGACTTACTGTCAGTTTCGTATATGTACCCCATTTACTTGAATACCATGCGCCCTCGAGTAAGGCGCGCACAGGGGTTTTTCAGTAGGAAATTTGGCTAAAATCGTATACCCAAGTAAGACGCGCACCCCAATTTTTAGTGAATCTAAAACCACAAAATTTAGAGAAAAAAAAATTCTTTAGACGTGAATTGAACAAAAATTCGGATCAATTTTCAACTTTGTCAGTACAAACAAGTTTTCTTGTTACATTTGTTCGAAATTTCTTCATTATAATGAAGTATAATGCACACATAACTTCCTAAAACTTCTTGAAAAATTTGTACCCGCTTATGAAGCGCACTGTATTTTTTTTTCTTCTGAAATTTCAGAAAAAAGGTGCGTGTAGTAGTACTCGAGTAAATACTCTTCCAAAAACGGATCGGCATCAAGGTATCTTATCGTCTTCTGCTTGGGTATAACAATTTTTAAGATGAAGATTGACTTTTTTGTTTTGTTCCAGGGAATTGAGACTCATCGGAGTTAAAATTATAGAAACTTGGTTGAAATAATGCTCCAGTCTGAAATAAAACCTTATATGCTACTCACGGAACATATTTTTCTAAGTTTAAAAATCAGAGAAAATGCACAACAAAATTTCACCCAAAAACCCGTGAAATGTAAAATTCTAATTGAATGAAATGGCCACAAATATGTTTTGAAACTCACACCGCATATTTTTCCGTCAAAGTCAATTTTTTATTGTTGAATGTATGCTTGGATATACTAAAAGCAGTCATTCTTGCATTCTTCGACTTTAGTTGGGTTCAGTAGCGTTCATTTTTACATGAGAAGAATCCTCAAGCAGAAATTGGCTCATTTAACCAAGAAATAGCTGATAATTACAGCGAATAAAAATGAAAACTAGTTGAGAAAAAATGACTGATGCATACAGTACCTGTATTTATGAAATATATATGAAGTTGAAATAAAACGTGTGGGAACATCAACAAAATCCAGTTTTATTTTCTGCGCAGGAATTATTTTGTCAATTATCCTCAATTTCAGTTTATGGCCTTCAATTTGTAAGCGCCAATTAATTGAATTTCCGTTTCAGATTTTTATACTGTACAGTATATATTTTTGTATATACGATTACATACAGCATGTGCATAAAAAATTATTACTTTTCTCGAGCTGAATTCGCACGCAGAAAATGTGGCGCTGCATTTCGATAGATTTAAAAACGTCGGCGCGGCGGAGAATTTATTCTATTTATAGTTTTTTTTTCGCGGAAATTTGCTGGTATTATTCCTGCAAATGAGAATGCCTTTCCCCTCGCAGAAAATGTTCCCAATTTCTTTTGCGGGTATTCTGCCGCATCAGTTTTTTTGTTTTCCTCTCACTGAAATTACTGTGCGCATATGTAACACGTACCTGGGTGCGGCGTAAATACGGTGTGCGGTCGTTTCCGTATATACGCCGCCTTATTGATAAACGCCTCGCAATCATCGGTCTGACAACAGTCCTTTTGGCCTCAGAAAAATCGACCTCGTTCGAATTTTCGAGTAAAGTTTTTTTTTTAAATTTCATTGGAGTTATCTCTTTCTTTTTTTTTTCTATATCTGATTTGATCGACAGGTACTTACGCTGGCACTCCGACGGTGATCAATTGGGTGGATCCGGGCCGAGGCGAGACGCGGATCCGGACGAAACTCGCCTGGGGGGCGCAGATCTCGAGAAAGAAGCAAGACTTCAGGGTCGTCGAATTCGACTTGCCGCCGTATTCGAGACTGCAAATCACACTCGACGGCTCTGTGCAAACCCGACGCAGGCCCTACAGTGCCAAACTCACCACGTTCTACGCCTCCAACTCGCAAAAGTCCCGCAAAATCCGAGGGCACTTTTTGGACGAAGACCTGGTGTCTGTTGAGGTTCGCTTTTTTTGTTCTCTCTGGACTCGGGAGTATTTTATTTTATTTATTTTTGCAAAAGCGGAATAAAAGGGTTGTAGGATAAGAAACGATTGTTCGATCTATTACTTGTCCGACGAGGCGACGACACGTATTTTAAAGCTGAGGATAATTTTAGATCCATACCCACATGTTCAAAAGTGGTATTTCATGAAAGCATAATATCAGGTGTTCAATTTTATTTTTCTTGTATGTCGAGCTTTAACGAGTTAAATATCACCTTTTGGTATACAGTACAGTACCGTAGTGTTGGAAGAACGAGAAACGATGTTTGCGAAATGAGTTCGACGAAAATCGTTGATGATTTCCAGAAGCTAGTATGTTTCCTGTGATTGAGCCGGGATATCGAACTACTGTATATGCAGTACATATATGCATCATCACATGCAATGCTTCCTCATTAAATTTGACGACTTTGATTCTACATTTGAAGGTGCGGAAGGAGAAGTTTCAATTGCTGCGAGTGGAACCGGGGGTTTCGACGGACCAGTCGATACTCGACGCGGAACGGCTCCAGTCGTCGATCGAGATCGACGTTCGCAATGCAATCACGTCAGCGTCGCCCCCTGACACTGACACCAACGCCATTCCGAAGGTACTATCGTACGAATAATATCGAGAATGTCTTTTACAATGTATGCAGTACAACCCTATTTCTTATTGTTAAGTAAAGCCCTATAATGTAATCGCTGAAAAAGCCGACATCAAGTTCTTCACATTCGAGTACGAGTAGTATAGAAATGCCTTACCTCCATCACTTATTATATTGAAGACTATAAAAATATTTAGATACTGTACTCGTTTTCTTGTAATATTTTTTGAAAATCACTTGAATTTTCTGGTAATGTGGGGACGTTGATTCCCTGATTGTCATTTCTCAATCATTTTATTTTTAATATTAATTCTGCCACTATTCCGAATAAACGCTCACTAGAGCATGAAAATTATGTCGCAAATGGCATGATGTAAACTGTCCTATATTTATTCTAAAGTAATCTCTAATTTAATTGCTGAAAAAGCCGAGATAAATTTCTTCATACAGTATTCGAGTCGAGAAAAAAGACTTTCCTCCATTTTTTGAATGCTATCAAATATCAAAATCCTCTTTTTCTTGAAATATTTTTTAGGTTACGTTTTGTAGTGATGTTCGGATATTGATTGATTGATGTACATTCCTTAATTATAGTATTACTGTATATTCAATATCAATCCAGCAGAATATCATTTGATGTGCTACATCACGAAAATGATGTCGAAAATGTCATTTACAATGCATATACAGTACCACATTTCTTCTAAAGAACCTGTAATTTAATCGCCGAAAAAGACGAGATGAATTTCTTCACATTCGAGTCCGAGTGAGAATACCTTTCGTCCACGTATTTTTGGAGGCTATCAAAGATCAGAATCCTCTTTTTCTTGAAATTTTTTCCGAGGATCACTTGAATCTTCTGGTAATTCTCTGACGTTCATTTCTTCATGTGCATTCCTTACTCGGTTATATATTTTAAATCAATTCAGCAAGCTGTTCGGCACAGAGCTTTCCAACTGAGGCTAAATGTGCACCATCATGACAGTCATCCCAACAGCCATAACCAATCGCCGCATTCCTTTTTCGGATATGTATATGTGGCACGTGAATTTAGAAGATGAAAAATACAGAAGCAAATACAACTCCCACCAGGGAAAATCCTTGAGTTTTCAGGAATTTGTTTTAGACATTCAGCTAATAAAATACAGTATTTTTTTACGACTTTAATAAAGGTGCAAGAGCACGAGGACGACTCCGCGCGGGTGTTCTGGGACCTGAAGCAAGGAGCCGCGGGATCCGTGGACGACGACACCACCTTCTGGGAAACGGTCATTAACTCCGGATGTCCGCGGAGTAATGCACGCCTAGGTGTCGCTCCACTTGCCTGGCAGCTGGTGACTTTTTTGGCTGCTTGCGCATTAGCAATTACGAGCAAGAAAACGATGTGCTTGTGATTTGGTGCTACTGCTACTGCTGCTGATGATCATAACTGCTGAAATCTAAGTGGTGGTGGTGGTGAAAAAAAAAAATAAGGAAAAACAGAGAAAGGGCTTCTGAGATGATTCAGTGAGTTTCGTTGGTGCTTGCCGTGAAATGCGATTGTTCCTTTTCGTTCGGTACTTCCAAATGATGGTGGAAAATGGTTCATATAGGTATTAAATGTTTGACAAAATATCTTTTTTCTGTAACTGTATCTTCCGGGATTTTTCTTAATCGTTTAACGTGGTGACGAAAGATCACTATTTGTTGAAAAGTTAGAACATATTTCAATTTTTTCCTCGATGAAAACTACGAGGAAACTACTGACTTGAGGAAAAATGATTCATCCGAGATTACAATTTTAAATTACTTGCAACCAGATTTTTCAGCCTATGCTGAGGACTTAATATTAACATAACAGTACTGTATTCGCGTTTAATTTGCGAATACTGATTACTGAATAATACTGAAAATTCATTTTCCGGACTCTAAACAACAGAATCCAAAGAAATTATACCGAAATCAGCATTTCGCCTATCATCTAGTCAAAAATGCTTCCAGAAAATCGCGTGCGTGAGGTTTTGTCAATTAATTAATCCGTCGATATCGTTTCAAGTGTTAATAAATGCTTAAATTACTGAATATGTGAGAAAATATTCTTGCTGACCAAAATGTTCGTCCTTGAAGTCGTACCTTATTGATGTGTCCCGACGATGAGTTTATCGTCTGGTTTTTGTCCATCACTCACGCCTTACATACCTTCGATTCGTCGTTTTGCTCTTAATTGATGGCTAAAAGCGTTCGTGTCCGATTTTTTTTGCTTGTTTTATAATTAAGAATCATATCCTGCGCCGATTTTAATGACGGGTTGAATGTTGATATATAATTCACCTTCGCCAATAAGAGGGGTAAAAAAGGACGAGGCGGGAGATACAAACTCGCGATGTTATTTTGCAAGATGAAAAATATATACTATACGTGCGCTGCGAAAACTTTCTGCTCCCAAGTGATGATCCGTGTCCTGAAACTTGGGATTTTGAGTGTCGGCGTTTGAGTGTGTAGAACACAAAAGAAGTGTGTGAAACCATCATTTGTGTTTCATCGTGGGTTCGATGTGTGTGCCGAAGGAGGCGATGATGACGAGCGATGAGAAAAAAAGAGGATGATGATGAATAATTATGATTGATTGGCTCTCGATGAGATGGACGAGGAAAAATCTCGTCTGTTTTCTATAGTGATGGCGGCGCTCTAAAAGTCACAGGACAGAGTCCGTTATTTTTGTGAGCCCCGGAATACGACCGATTTTTGTACGCGGATTGACAGTTTGGGTGTCGCTGGGAATCGACGGATGTTTACGTGGATAGTGGAGAATTAAAATGACCTGGAACTTGAAAATGTCCACTCTTACTTCTTCAAAACGCTTACTATTTCGGCTAGAGTGCTAAACCAGTGTTCCCCAACCCGTGGTCCGCAGAAGGTTTTTGTCAGTCCGTGGGGAATTTTCTCCAGCACAATACATTTATCAAAAGTAGTAACGGAGTCTGTTATATTTTCCCAACATTTTGGAGAAACAATAATGGCAATTGAATCTATCTGATGAAAAAAAGGTGGCTTTTCTCCTAATAATGCTTCAGACAAGTTTTCACCTGGCTGCTGAAATGAATTATTTTTATTCCTTATTCTGAGGCGCCCTTCTTATTCAAGCCCACATTTCTAATTTTTTAGACATTCCTCTATAGCTGCTTTATTGGTTCTTAACTTACAAGGAAGCAAAACTTTTTAAAAATCTGACATAAAGTTGTTCAAACAAAACTTTTTTGAATCTGCAAGAATTTTATGAAACTTTGCTAGTCTGCAGATAATGTTGTGAGAATTTGATGGTCTAGACTCTGAAGGTCCAAAAAGTTTGGGGAAGTTTGTTAAACCATCAAATTGGGACTTCTGAGTCCCAAACTCTCCTCCAATTGCACCAAAGAACAATGATCTAAATGAAATGGAATTTCAGGCAGTTAATTGAGAAACTTTTTTTTAACTTATATTGATTCCTTTTCACACATATAAGCCAAACTGCTTTATGTCAAACTCCAAGGGGCCAGCAAAAATTCAAATTGTAGAGTTTTTTAGTTGAGGAAACTAGCATTTTGATGGGGAAAATATAGTTCAGTTGAACTTCTTTAAGTTGAATTTTTAGGGGCCAGAAAAAAACTTGACTTGGGGAGGTTTCAAATTTTCAAGGTTTTGAATAAGTGAAACAATCAGTTTTTCTGCAAGGATAAGTTAAAAAAATTGCATGAAATCATAAATGAGGATATTCCTGGCCTAAACTTGCTTCTTAATGAGTTTAAAGCTTGCTGAACTTGGTTGCAGGGGTTCATTTGCTTAATTAGTCTTTCAATTCATTTCAAGATGCTTAAAATCATTGGGTATTTTCTTCCATATTTTAAGGAAATAGTCACCAAAAGGCCTCAGAAAATTCAACTTACAGAGGTTTGGGAGAAAAATACTTTGAGTTAGAGAGGTTGTTTAATCCATTGTTTCTAAGGGAATTCAGACAGGGACTTGGAAAAAATTGAGTTAGAGATGTATTTGACTTATAGAGATTCAGCTGTAACACCAAAAGTTAAAATTGGTGAATATGAGGCTTTGAACTGATCTGTAAATGCTGATTTGACAGGATGCTGGACTGTGGAAGCAAGGGTTTAATTTGCTTATTTATTCACTCAATTTCTTTGAAAAGCATCAAGTTACACATTTAATTATTTTTCTATATTCCTGGAATGCTGGGTCCCCAAAATATTATTCCAAGACTTCCAAAAATCCTTATTATTCTATAGAGATTTTTGAAAAAGTCCTCAAGTTTTGGAAGTCTGTAATACATTGTTCCCAAGAGGATTCATTCAGAGACAGAAGAAACATTTAAAATAGGTCAGGTTTTTTTTTCACTTCATGAGGTCTAATTTGCGACATATTTAATTTCTAATGAAGCGAGTTGAATATCAAGAGGCAAATGAACCTTTTAAGAATTATTTGACCTATTTATGTTGAATTACTGCAGCAAAAAAAATTATGCCATCAGGTCAGTCTGAAAAATTCTATACCTTCACTTCTATTAAATTACCGTATAGTCGTAAGGCTAAATCAATTTCGATTTATGAATCAATGTCAAGTCAAGAAGTGTACAGTACTTGGAAAATCACCAGATCGAGAGGTATATTGGACTTGCATTTTTTACCCCAATGAGGGAAACGGATAAGTCGCAATCAATATAAGACGAAAAGTTAATGACGTTCCTCATTTCGGCAACACTGCATTCGGGCAAACCTTCACAATGAATACCTTCTTTCGAAGATATGCTGAAGCATCACTCGTCAGCTTTCATCGAGATTCTTAATTGCTGTGGAAAATCCGAAATGCGTGACGGATTTGAGGATTGACATTGAGCAGGGATTTACTGGCTTTGAATTTCCTCCATTTAATGCCCTCTGGCAAAAATTGACGACGACGGAATCAACCTCTGTGATTCAACATTTTTTCCTAGAAATAAATATACTCCCCATACCCTCTTATTCCTTTTATTACACGTAAATAGTTATTCCGATCGAGTCAGTGTTCATTACTATTTTATCTTTTCAAGAAACTTTCGTTTCTAAGAACATTTCCTTTAATTTTCCGAGTATATAAATACTGTATAATAACACACCAGCAACAGCAGGGGATTATAATCGGTCAAAATGGGGGCTTGTCCTGCGAAGCAATCAGTGCTGGAGATTGACGATGATGAGAAGGAAGTTTCTGCAAGGAGTGAAAGACAATTGTGCAAAACTCTTCCGTATGTGAGGAAAGCCACTGAACCCAACACGTCCATTATTGGACCCGTTTGTCCCGAGAGGATCCGTTGCCCGTGTAGACATGCTGACGAAAGAGTGGCTTTGGAATCCCGGAAACCTGCGACTCTGGTTTCAAGGCCGTGTGGAATCAGGCCCTTTTTGCAGCAAGAGAAACAACCCAGGAACAATAATTGGTGAAACCCATTCCCGCGATAACTTTTGCGATTGTAAATGAGTAGCACATACTGAATGTTGTACAACTTAGCTCACTTTTAATTAAAGTCAAGATTTAGACACTCAAAATAAGTAGGGGCTACAGTTGCACCTTGTTAACTCAAACACCTCATAAAGTTGATCTTTTCAGGTGAACCTCAATAAGTCAAGCATCCCTAAGTTGAATTTTTTTCAAGTCCCTGTCTGAATTCCCTTGGAAACAATGCTTAAAACTTCTCTAACTCAAAGCCTTTCTATCTCCCAAATCTCTAAGTTGAATTTTCTGAGGCCTTTTGGCAACTACAGTATTTCCTTAACCCTTGGGCGGCAAAGTCGGACTATTTTCATAAAATTTCGTTACACCTCAGGGCAGAAAATAAAAAAGGACAACAGGGATTTGAGGATGAAGTTGGGGAAAAATCCAATGTTTTTTTTTTCTTTTTGTACAGAAAAATTTCATGAGAAAATGAAAAAATGCTATGCTAAGCAATGGGCTTTTCTTGGATTAATCCCAACTTTGCCTCAGCCAACCTGGAAGGTCTTTTCTGACCTTCAGAAAACTTGAAATGCCACAGTATACGAAAATAATCCAATTTTGGCCGGCGATGGGAAAGAACCCTCTGCCTTCCAAGGGTTAAAATATGAAAGAAAAAGTGATAAAAACAAATTATTTGATGCATCTTAAAAGGAATTGAAAGACAAATATAGCAAATGAACTCCTGCCTCGTCCAAGTTCAGCGAGGTGTAAACTCATTAAGGAGCCAGTTTTGGCCCAGAATATCCTCACTTATGATTTCCTACAGAAAATGTTTCCTACAGACCAATTCTTGGTCCCTAGAAATTTGATTTACAGAGGTTCAACTGTATTATGTAGAACTTTTGTGAAGTCTCTCTCTGAATTACCTTAGAAACAATGCATTAGAAATATCTCTAACTCAAAGGCTCCTTTTCTTTAAAAAAAAAACCCCATAGATAGAATTTTCTGAGGTTTTTTGGATTTTACAATACTGTATTTGATTTACTCAGAAAAAGAGAAAAGCAATAATAGAAAGGTAACTAGATCTATCCTGAAACGAAGTGAAAGACTATTCTGTATTTTGGCAAATACTGGGAACCCTTCCATCCAAGTTTAGTATTCCTGTCAAATCATTCAGGAAGCAATTGAAGGCCCAGAATATCACCAATTAAAATTTCTTTTAATTATTCCCTCTTGCCCACCAACCAGCTAAAAAATTGCTTGTGTCATGGCCTTAATTGGAAACCTCCCTAATTCGAATCCTTTGCTGGTCAAATCAAGTTCAACTCATCAACGAGGTTCAATTCTATTTTCTTCCCAACATTTGCAACATTTTCTGATTGACTTACTGTCATATATCATATGAGAGGGAAAGCGAACCCCTCATGAGTTTTACGATGCATTAAAATAGCTCTCGACCTGATTTTCTATTTATAAAAGAAAGATATTCCATCGTCCTGTTTCAAGCCACTGCTGCTGAAAATTGACTTCATCCCTTCCTTTTCCTGTATATATATTATTTAAAGGCGATCCTTAGTAGAAGAAATATTGCGTGAAGCCGAACCATGTCCTCCACCGATCGAAATCAAGCCCGCCAATGACGAATTGTGCTTCCAACTTCCGAAACCACCAAAACCCCCAGTTCCGGAATGGAAAATAAAATGCGCGGAAACCGTGAAAAATTTCGTGGGCCCCGAAAAAACCGCATTCTCTAATGATTTCGGACCTGGGTAAATATTCCGATATAAACGCTCGAACTTATGCAAATTCTCAACGACTGATGCTTGCCTCTCTGTTACTTCGATTTCGACACGGATTTCAGAGGAGATAGTTGCATGTTGCAAAAGGCTGATGACACGATCTTGGATCCATCCTTAATTTGGAAGAACGCTTGCAGCGCAAGAAACCAGCTGATGGCGACGAAAAATTTATTGACGGTTGGTTTAAGCAATTTTTACTGTTTAAATCAGATAATTCAATTATATCAGCAGTATTCGTCTTGAATCGATTCGACGGCTCGACTCCAGCATTTCACTTAAAATCCATACGCTAGCGACATCTCTAAAAGGATAAGAAAACTACGAAACCATACACCTGAGGAATGAGGTTTACGCTATAAATCGAGTTATAGTCATTCTATCATAGATGTCGCTAAAACATGAGTTACAGTATATGAATGGTTCTGAAACCGCCACCATTTTGTATCTTCCCTCACATAGCGCTGGTTTAATTTTTAAATATTAAACAATTTCTACATACAGGCGAGATACAACGAAATAACGAAGGAAGTTGAGCAACTGATCTCGGAAAGTGGAAAACTGAGAGCTCATCTGAAGGAGCAAAAATGTTCCTCCATGGGACGATTGCTTTATCCTGACAAAATCGAGGCGAACCTCGGCGAAGCCATTCAAATGGTGTGGAATTTTTAAATAATCTTGATCATTTGAATGTTGCCAGTGAATGTTGACACAGTGTTTTTGATTTTATAAAGTTCTGTAGGATAATATGCTGTGGTAATATTCCAGGACCAATCACAGAACTTAGGTATTTTAAAATACTGCAGTGTGGATCTGGACTCCCGGATCCACACTGCAAAGCTGTGATTGGCCTCGGTTATGATACCACGGCCAATCACAGTGAAAATATGCTGTGCGGTATTTTATAATACTGCAGCGCGGATCTGGACTCCTCGATCTGCTCTGCAAAGCTGTGATTGGCCACGGTAATGATACCGTGGCCAATCACAGTAAAAATACACTGTGCTGTATTTTATAATACCGCAGCGCAGATCCGGACTCCCAGATCTGCTCTGTGAAGCTGTGATTGGCTGCGGTAATGATACCGTGGCCAATCACAGTGAAAATATGCTGTGCGGTACACAACCCTGCAGTATTATACCAGGGTTGTGTACTGCTGCTAAAATACCGTGGGGTTGTGTACCACTGGTATTATACCAGCGTTACACAACTCCGCGGTATTTTAAAGGGGTTCTGAAAAGATTTGAAAAGATTTCACTGCGGACGCTCTACTACTAGATTGGTGTTATATGGAAGAAACATTCTTCAGAATTGCATGAAAAACAATTTTTTGCCACTAGAATTTGATTCCATGAATATCTTTTCAAACCAGTAAGATCATTTGGAACATTGAATAGTGTACCTCTGTACAGTAAATTGAAAAGTTGGCATCTGGAAAAATAACATCCATGTCACAAAGAGAGCTAGAAGGAAAACTTTTCGTCAACTAGAATGGAATTGAAAAGGGAAACCAGCATATACAGTATATGCATGTCGCGTCGGAAAAAATACTGTGGTCAGCAAAGAACAGAAAAAAACCCAGAATTAGGTTATTGTGATGACTTTGCGGTGGATGGGTTATTAATGCATTAAATTCCATGTAAATGAGTCAACAATAATGCATGTACTGTATATACTTCTGGGTGAGCAGTTGAGGCAACCCATTCACAATTGGCGAACGCTGAGGAAATCCTTGAAACCCGCAGTTGCAGTCTTCATGAAAGCAATGGCTGACTTCGCCTGTCCGGGAAAAGGAGAACCTCCTGAATATCTTCAAGACTTTTTGGAAGAATGTTCTTTCAGTTATGCTCAGTAAGTTTCCCGTTTATTATCATTTATCAGCATTGACTTTTTGTTTCCTGATCTATCCTTTCGGATATTTTCGTCATTAATCGTTATTTTAGTAAGACACGATTATATAAATCAAGCTCGCTTTTGTTTCGCGCATCATGCAGAGATCCCGACGCTGTGGCAAAATTCATCGAAGATAAAAGCGCGTTTACAGTTGTGCACGACTTCGACATGATCTTTGAATTCCTCACGTCACTGTCCAAAAAAAGCAAAGACGAGGGAATGTTGGCTTTGCAGGTAGCAGACCAAAAAGAAACGTTGCGACCGTGGAGTAAGCTGACGTCATCTAACGAACGAACCGCTCCTGAGAAATGTTCCATGCTTAGGCCGAAACCAAGACCATCAGAGATGTGCTGAGGGAAAGAAATTTCTGTCGTACGCTGTGGTGTTCAATTCATTTTGTTTTGTTTATGTTAACTCGAGTTGCTGACGAATTTTTCTCAATTGTCGGTGATAAATGAAGTTTCAACTTATGTAAAGGAGCGTTCGACAAGGTGCAGCACATATTGTGTGCGTATTATTGAACATGCATTACCCATGGGAGTACGGTATAGTTTCATTTCCGTACAGTGTCATCTGTGTATTGCTGAAAAAACCGTGAATTGTGGTCATCGGAATACTACCTCAAAGGCAGCAGGCGTTTCATCTACTACTGTATTCTACTGTAGGAACATTTACTGCCTGCACTATATGTACAGTATTGTAAGTGTATTGCTGAAAAAACCGTGAATTGTGGTCATCGGAACACTACCTCAAAGGCAGCAGGCGTTTCATCTACTACTGTATTCTACTGTAGGAACATTTACTGCCTGCACTATATGTACAGTATTGTATTGCAGCAATAACTTCAGCCGATAACAATTAATGTACAGTGCGTACAGTATTTAGTTGATATGCATGTTTGATCCGACAATAAGATATTATGAGAAAATACCTTTCACGCCGTGCAACTACCAAATTTACGACTTGCTTGAAAATGCGTCAGAGGTGAGAGAGGAAGTTAAAATAATGTGCAATCTAAAATTTCAATTTTCTTATTGGACAGTACCTGCGCAGCATGTATGATGAAAATGTGAAATGACGTAAACTTGTAGAGCACATATTTTACTTGTGTAACAAAAACATTGACTGCTGCTGATGATTTGTGCTTATTAACCCCCATTTTAGGTGGATCATGCTCAAACTACAGCTAATAGTAGTTCAGGACTCAGTAGATGAGTAGAGTCCTGTACAAATTTACTCTTTATGTACAGGTAAATGACTCTCGTCAACTATTATTTTGCTTACAATTTTCTCTGCATAACTTTTTTCTGTCCCAGCATAGGAATGTCTGCCAATCTAATCGGGGTTCTGAATGACCACATTATTATTTTTTACAAAAGAATTTTCCTGGTCCCATGAAATGTGTGTTTGTAGACCTTCTGCGTCTATATACCGTACTGTTGTATTAGCGACATCTCTTTTAAAGTGTACGACACAAGATGTGGCGATTTGTCGGCAGGTTCTGGCAATTCTGAACCACGTCCGACTAGCTGAAGGTTGTTATCCGATTGTTGGAAGGTCGTTTCTGAGGAGTTTCCGCGGTGGCTTGGAGGAATGAATTCTCGTGGGGAAATTCTGTGTATTTTCTTTCAATAAGCTTGGGGTGAATGTGTATCCGTGAGATTCAGTTCATAGGATTGTCTTGATTCATTGCAAGTGATTTCCCTTGTTTGATTGGTGCAGCGAACGGTCGATTCAAGCGAAATTTTTTCGGATTTTCGCGTATTTGTTACTGAACCTTTGCCTTTGTAGTGTGCTAACTTTTATTCTTCAGTGCTTCCATAATACAGTAATCCTAACGTCGATTGATCGTAGGAAATTCTTGGAACTCCAGCGGATGGTGTAGACTTTCAGTCTCCGCTAACATGTCGTTCCAAGTTGAAGAAACCTCCGCTGATCGGAATGTGGAGATATGGAAGATTAAAA